TAGCAGGAGAGGAAGAATGAAGGGGAGTAAGTCAGAGGGGGAGACGAACCAGGAGAGATGATGGACTCTGAAAAACAAACTGAGGTTTCTGGAGGGGAGGAGGGTGGGGGGATGGGTTAGCCTGGTGATGGGTATTAAAGAGGGCACATTCTGCGTGGAGCACTGGGTGTTATGAAGAAACAATGAATCATGGAACAGTACACCAAAACAAATTATGTAATATATGGTGATTAACATAACAATAAAAAATTAAAAAAAAATACCATCCACTTTTTTCAAAGAAATGGAACAAATAATCCTAAAATTTGTATGGAACCAGTAAAGACCCCGAGTAGCCAGAGGAATGTTGAAAAAGAAAAGCAAAGCTGGTGGCATCACAATTCCAGACTTGAAGCTCTATTACAAAGCTGTCATCATCAAGACAGTATGGTGCTGGCACAAAAACAGACACATAGATCAGTGGAACAGAATAGAGAACCCAGAAATGGACCCTCAACTGTTTGGTCAACTAATCTTTGACAAAGCAGGAAAGAATGTCCAATGGAAAAAAAGTCTCTTCAACAAATGGTGTTGGGAAAATTGGACAGCCACATGCAGAAGAATGAAACTGGACCATTTTCTTACACCATACACAAAAATAGACTCAAAATGGATGAAAGACCTAAAGGTGAGACAGGAATCCATCACAATCCTTGAGGAGAACACAGGCAGCAACCTCTTCGACCTCAGCCGCAGCAACTTCTTCCAAGAAACATCGCCAAAGGCAAGGGAAGCAAGGATAAAAATGAACTATTGGGACTTCATCAAGATAAAAGGCTTTTGCACAGCAAAAGAAACAGTCAACAAAACCAAAAGACAACTGACAGAATGGGAGAAGATATTTGCAAATGACATATCAGATAAAGGGCTAGGATCCAAAATCTATAAAGAACTTATCAAACTCAACACCCAAAGAACAAATGATCCAGTCAAGAAATGGGCAGAAGACATGAACAGACATTTCTGCAGAGACACCCAAATGGCCAACAGGCACATGAAAAAGTGCTCAACATCGCTCGGCATCAGGGAAATCCAAATCAAAACCTCAATGAGATATCACCTCACACCAGTCAGAATGGCCAAAATTAACAAGTCAGGAAACGACAGATGTTGGTGAGGATGTGGAGAAAGGGGAACCCTCCTACACTGTTGGTGGGAATGCAAGCTGGTGCACCCACTCTGGAAAACAGTATGGAGGTTCCTCAAAAAGGTGAAAATAGAGCCACCATATGATCCAGCAATTGCACTACTAGATATTTACCCCAAAGATACAAATGTAGTGATCTGAAGGGGCACCTGCACCCCAATGTTTATAGCAGCAATGTCCACAATAGCCAGACTATGGAAAGAGCCCAGATGTCCATCGACAGGTGAATGGATAAAGAAGACGTGGTGTACACACACACACACACACACACACACACACACACACACACACACACACACACACACACACACACACACACACTGGAATATTATGCAGCCATCAAAAAAAGAAATCTTGCCAGTGGATGGAACTAGAGGGTATTATGCTAAGCGAAATAAGTCAGTCAGTGAAAGACAAATATCATACGATCTCACTGATATGAGGAATTTGAGAAACAAGACAGAGGATCATAGGGGAAGGGAGGGAAAAATGAAGTAAGATGAAACCAGAGAGGGAGACAAACTATAAGAGACTCTTAATCTCAGGAAGCAAACTGAGGGTTGCTGGAGTGGAGGGGAATGGGAGGGATGGGGTGGCTGGGTGATAGACATTGGGGAGGGTAAGTATTATAGTGAGGGCTGTGAATTGTGTAAGACTGATGAGTCACAGACCTGTACCCATAAACAAATAATACATTATATGTTAATTTAAAAAAAAAAGTTGGGGAATGTGACACTGACGTGTATTTTACTAAATCTGAATAGGAGTGATTTGGTAATTTTTTTTTTTTTTTTTACCTTGGTGTTTAATCTCATCAGTGGATTAACAGGATTTTAACATAGGAATGAATAGGCCACATTCTGCAGGGATTCAGTGAATTAATATATATATATGTAGAGCATCCTTCCTTATTTCTAAAAAGGGAAAAATGTTAACAAAGAAATGTAACTAAATGTAACTGAGAAATATAATTGAAGTAAATTAAATTTACCATGTAAATTATGAAATAATTATAGTTCTGTTTTTTATGCATCATTTAAAACATCCAATTTTTGCATCAATCTAGAAAATAAACCTATCAGTTTAAATAATTTGTTTTCCCCCAATTTTTGTCATAAATTTATGCCTTAATACTGAGCTTACCCTGTATCATTTACTATCCTTAAATAAAAATGATACATACAAAAATAATACACCTACATATGTAATTAAATAAACAGTGGAAAGGAGGGAGAAAGGAAAGAAGGAATCTACAAAAGCCTGGTGATGTAGGTGTGTTTTATAGGTAAAACAGGTTGATTACTCAAATCCTGCAACTAGTTTTGTCATTAGAAATGTGGATTTTTCAGAATGCCAACAACTCTTGCTGATGGCATGAACAACAAAAAAAGATATAATCATTCACTGATTTATATTTCTGATGTTTAATATATATAAAAATGATTTAAAATTTCATTTTATTTTTTTTAAAAATTTTATTTATTCGACAGAGGGAGAGAGAACGAGGGCAGGAACACAAGCAGGGGGATTGGAAGAAGGAGAAGCAGGCTTCCTGTGGAGCAGGGAGCCCGATGGGGGCCTTGATTCCAGGACTCTGGGATCATGACCTGAGCGGAAGGCAGATGCTTAACGACTGAGCGATCCAGGCCCCCCCCATTTTTTTTTTTTAAGATTTTATTTATTTATTTGACAGAGACACAGTGAGAGAGGGAACACAAGCAGGGGGGCTGGGAGAGAGAGAAGCAGGGCCTCCCACCAAGCAGGGAGCCCGATGCGGGGCTCTATTCCAGGACCCTGGGATCGTGACTGAGCCGAAGGCAGACGCTTAACGACTGAGCCACCCAGGCACCCCCCAAATTTGGTTTTAATATAAAATGGAGTTAAGTTATAGATTCAGATAGTGGCTTTTTATTCTCTTAGTGTCTATGTGACATTTGAAAGACGTGGAATACAAGACAGTTTGTGTGTGTGCAGACAGACTGTCATGCATCTTGTAGTATGTTTAGCATTCCCTGGCTCATCCCATTAAATCTCCATGGTATTCTCAATTTTTGTGACAATAAAACACTGAGAGTGCCCCGTAAAACATGGTAATGTCCATATGCAGAACCAGTGTTGGAAATAGAAACATGAAAAGACCTCTTTTCTACCTTCACATAACTTACAGTTTAGCAAGAAGACAAACATGCAAAATAAGTATTACAAAAGAATATTGCTATGGTCTTAGAGTGTGATAGACGGAATCTGTAACTCTTCTTAGGCTTAGGGAAGACTTCATGGAGGAGGTAGTATAATATGAAGTGCAGGTAATGAAAGGGAAAGGAACCACATGGTGTGAATAGCATCTACAAAGATGTGAGAGACCCTAAATTTTACATATATATGTAATATATGTATATTATTTCCATATATATATATGTAAAAAAATATATATATATGGAAATATGAGATAGGCAAGAGCTAGACTCTGTTCAGAAACTTGTATGCCATTGTTGCGACTGGGATTACATTCTAGATAGATACTGGAAAAATTTGAAGGACTGTAAATAGAAGAATGGCATGGATAGTTCTATATTTCAGAAGATCATATCAAGCCGAGAGTGGAAGATAGGTTGGAGGCCAGCCTGGAGGTAAGGAGACTAGTTAGGAAATATTAGCAATGTTCAAAGGGAGAGAAGTACCAGGACAGTGGAATTACAGTGGAAATTTAAGGAAGAAGACAAATAAGAGTTTCTTTGGTGGTAAAATCTACAGGTCTTGATGATTAATTGGGTGAGAGAAATGAGGAATTGGAGGAGTCTCAAGTTTGTTTCTTTCACAACAGGGTGTAGCTGGCATTCACACACGAATAGGATTTTTAAAAATGCAAGTTTGGTGGTGGTGACTATGGTGGCCAGAGGGGTTGGTAAGAATGGGAGGACGTGGTTAATAAACTTAACTTTTAAATATTTTGAGTTGGAGCTGTTTTTGGGTCATTCAGGAAGAAATGTTCAGAAGATATCTGATCATAGGAGTATGAGGCTTAAGAGAGGAGTACAGTATACTATTGTATACTGTATTGGCTATGGAGACAGAGCTGATTTCAGTACTTTGGTAATAGCAGAGTAGTTTGTATTAGACTAAACATCCTGCATGTTACAATTATAAGCTCTAGACAAAATATTAAAAAAAAAACCAATGAACTATTTGAAAATATTGGTGAGTGACCGCAAGCAGGAAGAAACTAGAAAGAAACTTAAAAAAAGGGAACAACTCTGAGTGAAATGTCTGCTTTTGTGGCTTTTCACCTGAGGGAACTCCTTAGTCAGCAAGACTTTTGACAGCTAAAACTCAAGCAGAAAGATGGAGTCTTAGGGGTTTGAAATACCTAATATTCTTCTCTGAGTAATAAGAATTTTAATACTCTAAAATAAATAGAAGCTATTTTCTATTGTTTTATTTAAGTTGTTTGGTTTCTGGCATTTACTTTAGAACAAAATTCATGTTTTACAGAATTTTAAGTAATATAATCCCATTCTTAAGTGTGTAAGTTACAGAAGGGAGGTTTATACATTAGCTACACAGAAAAATGTCTCTGTATATAAAATGATAAAATTTCTGTCTGACCCTTATGGATGATTTTTTATTTTCTTTATATTTTTATTAATGAGAAGAACCTTTTTAACAGTGAATATACATTGCTTTTCTAATGAAATGAAACTCTATTCTGAGAAGATGCTTAGCAGAAGAACCCATAATTTCCAGTTTACTTCTTCAGCTTACTGTCTTGTTGCAGCATTCTTAATGAAATATGAAAACTTGATTTTTTTTTTAGGAAAGTGGGACTGATATTGCTGATCATGTTCGAAATTCCACTTGGGCAAAAAATGGCACCTACCAAGATGTTCTTCATAACACCTCTGAGGAAGTCACAGAACAAAACATACGAGCTGGTACCCAGGCAGTTTTGCAGGTGGTTCACTTTTTGGGTATTTAAAAAAAATACAATAAAGTAATTATTAAATATTTCAAATATATGGTTCAGTATTTCATGGTACAGTATAATTTTTTAATAAACTCAACACCCATATTTAATCAGTTTTTATTATAAAATATTAATTTTGTTTTTTCCTTAACTTTTACTTCCTGATGTATATGTATTGATAAAAATTACATATTATTTTTCTAGACAATTGCAAAATTTATATATATTGTGTCATGGTGTATTGTCGTACTTTCTTTTTGCATTAACCATTATGTTTTTGAGTTGTGTTGTTGATACATAGCTGTAGTTCATTCATTTTAGCTACTTTCTGGTATTGCAACTTATGATTATTTCACATTTTACTTATTTTTCTGTTGATGTTTTTTAAGTTGTTTCCAATTTCTCATTATTCCAAATAGTGCTACACTGAATGTACATTCTTATTTATTTCTTTCACACATGTGGGAGAATTTCCTTAGGATATGTACCCAGAAGTGGAGTTACTGGGTTGGAGGAGTTGTATATTATCATCCTTACTTTACTGTTATTGCCAAATTGTCTTCCAACATGATTATAATAATTTACATTTCCTTTAGAGTGTTTGTGAGTTCTTATTTCCTTATATCTTCCCTTTTTACTTATAGAGTCACATTTTAATTTTTGCTGCCCCAAATATGTGAAATGTTATTTCATATTTTTGTTTCCTTTTTTTAATTTGCTTTTTTTCATCAGTACTGAAATTGAGCATCTTTTTATGAATTGCCTATTCATATACTTTTTCCCATATTCTGTTGGGTTGTCTTTTTCTTGTTGATTTGTAGGAGTTCATTATAGTCATTAATTTTTTAAATCAGACTGTTCTTGTCAAGACCACATGTGACCTCCACATTGTTAAATCAGATGTACATTTTTTTCTTTTTTCTTTTTTTTAAGAGAGAGAGAGCATGTGCACAAGTGGAGGGAGGAGGGGCAGAGCGGGAGGGAGAGAATCTTAAGCAGTCTCCACACTCAGCATGGGGTGTGAGTGAGGCCTTATCTCATGACCCTGAGATCATGTCCTGAGCCAAAATCAAGAGTTGGATGCTTAACCAATTGAGCCACCCAAGTGCCCCAGATGTACATTTTTCAATCCTAATCTTAGTGGACTTGTCAGGAGCATTTTATAGAATAGACCATTCCCTCTTTATTGAAACTCTTCTTGTCCTTCTGAATAGCATGCCTCCTGTTTTTCTCCTAACTCACTGGCCACTTCTCAGAATTTTTTACTGAATTTTTCACATGTCCCTAACCATTTCATTGTTGAAGGGCCCCAGATCAGTTCTTAGATCTCTTTTCTACTTATTCTCTGGTTCATCTCATCCATTCATCTGGCTTTAAATGTCATCTATATATTGCATCATCTACAATTTTATTTCTAGTGTGAGACCTCTTGTCTGAACTCTTAAGAGTCTTTTTTTTTTTTAAGATTTTATTTATTCATTTGAGAGAGAGAGAGAGACAGGGCACAAGCGGGGTGGGGGAGGGGTAGAGGGAGAAGCAGACTCCCTGCTCATGGGGAGGACCCTGAGATCATGACCTGAGCTGAAGTCAGATGCTTCACTGACTGAGCCACCCAGGCACCCCTGAGTCTTAAACTCAAATATTCAAATGCCAAGTTAACATCTTCACTTGGATATCTAATAGACATTTCAGACTTGACATGTCTAAAACTTCTGTTCTTGCTCAACAAACATGCTGTTCCTGCCATTTTCCTTGTTTCATTTATAGCACCTGTTTTCCAATTGTTCAAGCCATCTTGTTTCCTGATTTTTTTACTTTTAATTAATTAATTTTAAAGATTTATTGATTTATTTTAGAGAGTGAGGGAGCAGGGGGGAGGGGCAGAGAGAGAGAGGAAGAGAGAAACCCGAGCAGACTCTGTGCTGCATGCAGAGCCCAACACGGCTCCATCTCACAACCCTGAGATCAGACGTGAGCCAAAACCAAGAGTAAGATGCTCAACTGACTGCACCACCCAGGTATTCCCCTGCCTTCTTTTATATCCTACATCTAATTTGATAACACATCCTGACCATTTTCAGAATGTATGCTGAATCTAACTCTTCAACATTTACACTACCTCTTGTATCCAGGCCTCTGTGATCTTTCATCTGGATTATTGCAGTAAACTCCTAATTAGTATTCTTGCTCTGCTCTTGCCCACTCATCACTCTGGCATATTCTCAACACAGTAGCCAGAGGGATTCTCTAAAGTGTAAGTCAGATCATACCATTTTTCTGCTCAAAATCCTCCACTGGCTTTGCATTATCACTAAGCATAAAAGCAGAAGTCTTTCTAATGGTCTATAAGGCTTTACATCATTGCTCTTCAGGGTATGGTCCACAGACTAGTGCTGGCCCACAAGATAATTACAAAATTGAGACTAAGAGTTTAGAAACTAAGTCATCTAATATCTCTTGATTTTGATGGTTTGCATTTATATTTTTGTATGTCTGTTTACATTTCCTTTTTCTTATTCTTTTTTTTAAAGATTTTATTTATTTGACAGAGAGAGAGACAGTGAGAGAGGGAACACAAGCAGGGAGAGTGGGAGAGGGAGAAGCAGGCTTCCCACGAAGCAGGGAGCCTGATGTGGGGCTTGATCCCAGGACCCTGGGATCATGACCTGAGCTGAAGGCAGACGCTTAACAACTGAACCACCCAGGCGCCCCTTATTAGTTCATTTTTATTGTATTTTACAATAGGATTGGTCTGCGAAGTTTGCAGGGGAAAATATATTCTCTCACCACTGGCAATGTGAGAAGTTCTCCACGTGCTCTGGTTCTTTTTCTCAACATCATTTCCCAACTGCTTCCCTACTTCTTCACTTCATTCTGTACTCCTTGCTGTTCCTTAAACATGCTAGGGAGGCTGTCACCTCAGGTCCTTTAATCTTGCTTTTTGTTTTGTCTGGAATGCTTTTCTCCCAAATTGCTCATGGTAATGTCCTTATTTTATTTCTGATAATTTATTTATTATTTATTTGTGCCTCTTGCTTTTCTTGGTCAGTGTTGCTAGACTTACAGAGTTATCTCTTTTCACTATTCTAAAGTTAGCTTAACAGTCTTTTTTCTCATGATTTTACAACTATGTTTTATTATGTAATTCATCCAGGGATTTAAATCAGGATTATGGGTATAGAAGATGTAAATGTCCTAGCTTCACAATAGATGAAATGTTCCATACCTCCAAAGTATCTTCGAGAGCCTTTGTACACACCTGTCACCGTTATAATTACTTTGTCTTCAGTAACAAAATATAGTTAATGATTTGATTATAATAGTTCTTTAAAAATTTTCTGTGAAAGATGCATATTAATGGCACCTCATTAGTAGTACTATAATATGTGATCTGTTCATGCAGTTTGTTATTACTAAAGCAGATAAACACACATAGACTATAAACATGAAAAGAGTAATAGATGGTATTGAACATTTTATTCTGAAAATTCTTCTTAATTTAGGTATCCTCTTTTATCCTAAACTGTTTGTATTTTTTTATTGTTTGTTTCATTTTATGACAGCAGTAGAGTTATTATATTAAAGCTCTCAGTTATAAAAAATGCTATTTTTCACTTGGTTTCTTTTCCTTGGGTGCCTAGTAGTGATTTTATATTTGTCTAGATAAACATAAAAACAAAATAGTTTAATGGGTTTAAATTTCACATGTCAAACTAGTGGTAGAAATAGGATCAGAATTAACCTGTAGCCTTATGCTTTTAAGTTCGTTGTAGATCACCTAGTGATCAGCATCTGAATTTATTTTTTCTTTAAATAAGAAATTTTAATTTTATAATGAATAGCTAATGATGTCTTTTGTCTTAGGTGTTTATTATAAACTCATCAAACATATTTCTTCTTGAACCTGCAAATGAAATTAAAAATCTTCTGGATGAGCACACAGATATGTGTAAACGCATTCTTAATATTTATCGGTTCATGGTTGTACAAGTTTCAATGGACAAAAAGACTTGGTAAAAAATATTTATCCTTTATGTTTTTTTTAATTGTGTATATATAATTATAGTAATTTTTAGAGGAGTAGTGTCTGAACAGGGCTTGTCGCAATATTGTAGAGGCTTCTATTAGCAAGTAAATATTTTATGTAATAATTATGATGACAGTAGTAGTCTCCACTTTATCTTAGACACCTTTGATCAGCCTTCCTGGATTAGTTTTCTAAAGTGGACATATGATGCCCCCCTCACCACTCTCAGGAATGAATACATGCATGAATAAATGAAATTATGCATGTGTGAATAAAAGAATAAGTAAATGATTAAGTGTGTGAATGCCTGATTTCTCAACCTGGCATTTAAGGCCATGTACAGTGAGGTCCCTGCCTAATTTTCTGTCTTTCTCTCAAGCCTAAACTCTACCCTGCAGAATGGGATCCAGCTCCCAGCTTTACCAAATTGCTGTTTCCTGTGCACATTCTGAACTTTTCTGTAGAATATCTCATTCTTGCCATCTTTTTATGTTGTCACAGTAACTCTTTAGATTCCACCTTCCTTTTTCCACGTATCCTTACTTATAATTTTCCCCCCACTTCCTTTCAGTATGTATTTGTACCTCTGTTTTAGTTCTTTTCAAAATTGTCTGAATCCTTAAATTACTTGTATAAATGTCTGTTTACCTGTGAATTGAAAGGCCCTAAAAAGTATGTCTCTGTTGTCTTTGTTTTTGTATTTCCCACATTCTTAGGATAGTATTTTATATATTATTTGTACTCTTTAAATATTTAATTGAATGGAAAAATAGGCCTTTTGGGGAAAAGAACAGTTCTTCAGTTTTTGTAAAAATGATACATGTTCACTGTAAAAATCAAACAAAGAAAAGTTTTAAAAAGAAAATAAAAGTTGCCCCAAAACTCATTCTCTGGAGGTAATCATTGTTTGCCCTTTGATGAACATCTGGTTCACCAAACCATATATAGTCACTTAGTATTATGCCATTTGTATGTGCCATAATTTTCTTAACCAGTCTCCTTTTGATGGATATATAGTTATTTCCATTTTATTTTGGGGTGGAGGGAAGACAGTGATCATCCTAATACATACATAATTTTTCTCGTTTGACTTATTCTTAAAAAGTGGAAGTACTTAGTGAAAGATTATGCCTAGTACATGTTTTGCTGCATATGGAAAAATGGCTTTATTTTGAAAAAATTCTTTATTAGCAGTATGGATATAGTTACATCAGGAAGTATTATTAACTTAATTGGAACACTTTTCGATGCCAGGTATGTTTTTAAGCACTATGCATGCATTTTCTTTCTTAATTGTAGCACTTCTTAGGTAGATAATATCTCTATTTTATGTGGTGGTTCTTAGGCACAAAGAGATTAGTTCATTTATCTTTGTTTACATAGCTGAGATTTGAACTGGTCCTTCAGACTGCAGAGGCTAGGTTATTATTATCCAGTAACCGTACTATTTTGGACCATTCTTTTATTAGTCTCTGTCCCCCCTTCCTTTTTTTTTTTTTTTTAAATGTACTTTGCATCAGTATTGTTGAGCCAGGTTAAAGTGAGAGGTCTGCTATATGGAACACAATTTTAGAATTAAAAAAAATTTTTTTACAAGTTCCCTTTAAGTCATAGCATTATGAGAGATTACTCACATATTTACATTGAATTTATAAGATTTTATGAATTAAAATCATTACTATCATATTACAAAGTGAAAGGTTATATATGAATGAGTTTTGATTTGACCACAAGTCAGATAAGATTTATTTGGAAAATCTATACTTTATTGCATATGTGGTTGATTTCAAAAAGTTCTTCATTTCATACAGCTAAGCCAGAAGACTAAGATTACAAATGTGGCAACTTTGATTTTTATCTTATGAATAAATACATGTATTTATTTGTTAATCAATTCAGGATATTTTTCATTGAGTGATACTTTTCTATTTGATTCTGCCCTCCCTTTCCAGAAAAATGATGACTTCTAGGTCTGTGATCTCTTGCTACCTCTGCCACATTTCTCACATGGATTGTTCCACGTCCCACATGTTGCTGTGTCTGGAATGGGCCCACAGACAAATCAGAGAGGAGGCTGTGATAGGGACTTGGGCTGGTAGTCTGGGTGTACACCCAAACTGAAATACCCTTTTTCACATGTGGTTTAATCAGTTTCCAAATTATCAAGTGCAAATAAGGTGGTTTTATGGTCTTAATAATAAGCATCTAGGAGACAGAGGCAAGATAGAAATAATATTAGGATTGTCTTGACTTGGAGTACACAAGGAGAATAAAGGGAAATGGCCAAACTTAAAAGGGTGGAAAGAGGCAAAAGAGTGATGGTCCTTGATTACCTGTCAGGATCAACTGTGATCTATTAATCTTAAAAATCATGTAGTTTTTGCAGTTGCACCTGGTACACTTCTGGATATGTGCTTATTTTCCATATTATAAAGATGAAGAATAGATGTATAGGCATCAAGGTAGAACTATACTGTATAGATAGAGGAATGTTCTTCAAACAGCTTCCTAAGGTTATTACTTGATTTTTGGGGGGTCGGGGGATGGGAGCAGCCACCACATTCTCACCTCCCAATAATGAGCTTTTGCATACATTTTTAACTGATGAGAGGGTTTTGTGATTGAAAAATGTTTTTTAAATGACTGGTATAGTTTATAAAATGGAATTTTAAATTTTAATATTTAAAGAATTCTAAAAATTTGAAAGATATTTTGATATTTGACTTATTGAAAGATAATACATTTTATAACAAATATTAATTTTGAAGTTATTCATTAATCAAAAACAAACATATGTGAGAAGGAAACATTAATTAATTTTTTTACTTTAAGGGAACAGATGCTGCTTGTGTTGCTCAGAGTCACGGAGTCTGTACTGAAGATGCCATCACAAGCTTTTCTGCAGTTCCAGGGGAAAAAAAATATGACCTTGGCAGGTCGACTTGCAGGACCACTTTTCCAGGCAATAAAAATAAATAAATAGATAGATAAATAGATGGATAGATATGTATTTTTATAAGAGTCATTGAGCCCTGAACTTGTTACTTGGGGGAAAAAAGATTTAAATCAAAGATCATTTCATATTAAAGGACCTTTTGTGAACTAAATTTAAAGTTGCTTATCTAAATAGGCTATTTGCCATACATAGAAACTCACAACCTAGTATAAGAGTGGAGGAAATACCAGTTCTATGTAAAGAGCATTGAAACAGGCTGATGATATTTAACTTTTTCTCTTGTGTGGCATACTTACATGATTGCAAAAAGCTGCCAGGGAGCTTCATGAGTAATGGCCTGATTGTTTGCTTTATGAGTTTCCAAGTCTCTGGCATTGTTAGAAAAACAAAACTTTCTTTTAAGTTGTTCTGTAGTAATGGAAAAGTAGCTAATAATCAAGAATCTTTCTTATCATGCTGTTCTGTAAGACTTTATTCATTGTTGTATTTTAAGTATCAGTGGTAGTTTGAATATATAAAAATTATGTATTGTGTTTTCCAACCTGAGGATAGAGTATTGACTTTAAATGTATTATGGATTCTTTGGAAATACCAAAATAATATGTTCTTAAGGTGACACATTAAATACAAATACATGGATAAAATGGTTCTTAATATCAAAGTAAAAAGCTACTCAGATCTAATTCTTGGCCATAACTATAATCATTCAAATCATTTTTTAAAAAATATTCTTATGCCTAAAATTTTATGCTAGTAGTGAATAATCTTTTGAAACCAGTTACATTTATTATCTAAACTCCTCTTAACTTCTTAGCCCTTTTTAAAAACATTTCCCAATTGTTAGAACTAACCCAATGTTGAAACTATAGAAAGGCAAAATTTTAGCTTGCTATGTGGAATAACTTTTTTGTAGTGTAAATGTTTCAAGATAGAATAGAGTCACTAGTTTTTACTGTTCTATACTGTAAACTCTGTTCATTTCATCTTGCATTTAATGTATAAATTTATGTGAATTACTTAGTAAAATTTAGAGCTAAGCTTTTGAAAAACTTTTTACTATTCGTTTCTTCAATAGGAGGTTATATCTTCAGTAGAAATCCCTAAAATCTCAGTGGTAATGGCTGATCAGTAATTTCTGCCCTCAGTGAATAAGTTCTTATTCTATGATTGGATATTTTACAAAATGCCTTTAATTCTTCTGGTATCTTCAAAGTGAAATTTAATTTTATTCTTTAATTTACATACAATTTTTCAAAAAACATTTCATTAAGTATATCTGCAGTAACTTGTTTTTAGAATATTCAAATTATATGCTGAGTTTCGTCTTCAATTTGAGAATGTAGGTTTTGGTCAGTTTAGCTCAATAAGCATTAGTAAATAATTCAACATAATAATTTCAAATTTTTAATAGTGTGGAGACTCTTTTCAAGCAGCATTTATTTAACATTAATGTAATACAGCATGAAGGATAGTTACAACTTAAGGATATTTCTTTTCAGTTTTGATAACTTGTCCTAATTGCTAGAATGTTGGGTGTTAGCAATTGTTGAAATAAAATTTATAGTAGATATTAATGATTGCATGAATTCCTTTATAAGTATTAGGTACCAAGAAAGTGTCATGGATATTATGTGATTTAAAAATCTGCTTGTTCTTAGTTTTTTTTTATGATTGAATATCTGAATTTGAACATATTTCATTGTTACTTATTTGTCTTTATAGACTCTTATCGTTGCCTGGATCAAAGCAAATCTTAATGTGTACATCTCTCGAGAACTATGGGATGACTTACTCTCAGTATTATCGTCTTTGACCTATTGGGAAGAGTTAGCCACTGAGTGGTCGCTAACTATGGAAACTCTAACTAAAGTTTTAGCTAGAAATTTATATAGTTTGGATCTTAGTGATTTACCATTGGATAAGCTGAGTGAACAGAAGCAAAAAAAGCACAAAGGGAAAGGTAAGAGTTGTCCACAGAGATGCTCCCCATAAATTTGTTTAAATAATTTGGTCTGGGAAAATCAAGCTAGGGAGACAGGTGACGGTAAAAAATTATGTTTTCTCTTAACTGTTCCCTCCTTCATTTGCCCTGCAGATTAAAAATTTTCAACAATAAAACATGTAGGTACCTTGTAATTTTTCTTGAATAACCTTAAAATCAGTGATATTGATGAGAAAGTGTTCTGTATATATCTAGCTAAAATTTAAATAATTTAGAATCTTAAATATTTTATTTTAAATAATTAACCAAAATGGAAATTTTAATGTTCTTCCTTTTTTATCATGTGCAACTTTTTGTTAGAATTTAGAAGGTGATTTCATGTTACTCTATTTAAAAAGAATTATTTGAAAAATTCTGTTGAAAGCATTTTTTTGGTTTTAACTAAAAGCAAACATTCCCTAGATGTGGGTTATGTATCTATTGAGTGTTAAAAAGGGGGAGAGGGACAATGACATAGTGATTATATTGTTAATACGTGTTTTTATAATCCTTGATGTGTTAGTATTTTTCACTCTTAATAAGTAGTTGCTGGCTAGAGATTATACCTGGGTCACGCTTCCTATTTAAAAGTAGTCCATGGTAGTTAATTATGTGACCAAAATACTTTTTCCTAGACTGTTTATTTCCCAACTGGCTATTATTGGCAGGTAGAGATTTAGTAACTTCCATCACAGGATGGCTTTTGGTTGGCTCATTTCTCAAACTTTTTTGCTTATCCAAATGTTTCTTTTTTAATGGAACAAGTGGATGGCAAAGGATTTAATAATAGTTTATTTTTGATGGTGTAATTTTAGAATTCTGTATTGGTTTTGGAATATGATTTTTACATAAATTGAAGTTCAAAAAAGCCTTATGGTACACAGGCATTTAACATGATACTTCATAATGCATTATGAGTAAACCTGAGAATCTGAGGCAAGGTAGCACGCATAATTTGAAGAGATTATTAATCAGGTGGCAGTATACTGAGATTGAAAATCTGCATTTCTAGGAGTTGGACATGAATTTCAGAAAGTTTCAGTTGACAAGTCATTTTCTAGAGGATGGAGTCGTGATCAGCCTGGCCAAGCCCCAATGAGGCAGAGAAGTGCAACAACCACTGGTTCCCCAGGAACCGAAAAGGCAAGGAGTATAGTACGGCAAAAAACCGTTGGTATGTACTCTTAAAAATAATGAGAATTGTACACGGCAATACGTTTATAGTCCTTAGTAACAATCTATGTAAATATATAGTTACCTTTTAACTTTGGTCGTTAAAGGAAAAACTTCTATAGCAAAACCTTTTTTTTCCCAGTAGTAGTCGAGAATCTAATGACATGCGGTTACTCGTGTATGCTATTAAGATTTAGCTTACATTAGCATTTTTATGTAGTTTATTTTACTGTAGGTATCAATAATTTTAAACTGTTTTTTACAGAATTGAAGAAATAGAACTCTGATTCGCTTTACAGAACTCATGCATTAACTGGTAGAGTTTCTACTAAGTGAATATACTCACAAACGGGAAATTAGGGTAGCTAATTTTCAGTGCTAGATTATATAATTAGATTGGCTTCACACACTTCCAACTAGGAATTCATGCTCTCTGCTTGCAGATAGCTGAGACCAAGGTGGAAGTTGTTGCTAGATTCCTTGCAGCTTTTAACAGACATGGAAGAAATTTCTATGATCTTGGAAGTAGCAGCAAAGGAGCAATAATGGGAAGAATTTCTGGATGTAGGATCACGCAGTATACTCTGGACCTAGCTACCATTTTATTACTCTTCCTCTCAGAGACTTATAACTTGCTCTGAATTATAGTAGAAAGAGTGCTGCAATGAAAATTAAGAAGGCTTTGTCCTAATCTCTTTTTTTACTCTTACTTTCATCACTGAATAGCTAGATCATTTTGAACTTCCTAGGCTTTATTTACCTCATCTGTGTAATGGGAATAATAATACTTTATATGCCTGAAACAAAATTGCTTGAAGTTACTTGGTTTTACAATTTATAATTTTTTAAAAGATTTTATTTATTTATTTGAGAGAGAGAGAACGAGTGTTTGCGAGTGCACCAACAGGGGGGAGGGGCAAAGGGAGAGGGAGAAGCAGACTCCCCGCTGAGCAGGGAGCCCAACTCAGGCCTTTATCCCAGACCCCTGGGGTCATGACCTGAGCTGAAGTCAGATGCTTAAATGAGCCACCCAGGCACCCCTACAGTCTATGATTTTTATGGAAGGAGCATTTTTTGTGGAAATATATCTATATTTAATGGTAATCCTGAAAAACACTATTTTAAAGAAATTTAAAAGAATTAAAAAGCAGTTAATTTTTAAATCCTTCAAAAGACATATTTTCACAGTTGTTTTCTGCCTATAAAATAAGCATAGAATTGTCTATGTCAAGAAGAATAATAAATGATACAAGGATAAAAGGGTATGGATGAATTAAAATTAATATAATCAAAGTTTTGGTATAGAATCACTTTTTGAGATTCTTAGGAAGATGTTGATTACATCTGAAATGCCTTTCTTCATTTTATATTAATGTCACATTTAATGAAAATATTTGTGTACTGGTTAGGATAGAATTGTTCTTTTAAGTTTAAAATTTTACTTTGTTTTACTTAAAATGTATCTTTTTTAAGTTTCTTAGATAATTTTTCTGATTATAGAAGTAATTTATGCTTAGTGTGAAATGTAAAGTTTAAGGAAACATCAATGAGCTGTCTAATGAGAAACAGTCGTTAACATGTTGGCATCTTTCTAATCTTTAAAAAGTATATAATGAGCAAAATACTCATCTTCAATTCCTACCTGACTATGGTTACTTTCTGGTACCTCTGCCAAAACAACCTTGTCTGGCTTGTTCATTAAACAAACCTATCAAATAAAAAATTGAAGTGTTAACAATTTTGTTCAGAAAAGTACCTGCATAAGTTGGAAAATACTAAAAGGGGCAGCAGATTAATTCAGGATAGTGTTTGAATATATATTTTCTGAAAATATTAAATTTTTATGTTCCTAGTGTACAGAGTTAAAAATTGAATCTATGATAAAGTGTATACATTCTAGTAAGTCCCTCATCACTACTCCTAAGGTTTTGCTTATGCCAACATATTATTAAAGGAGATGCAGCGAATTTAGGACTTACTTTAGACTTACTTTAGAATACGTTTGTGAGAAGTAATAACTTGTTTGCAGTTATGATTCAGGAACTGGTATTCAGCTGTTGGAACAAATATATCACTGTTTCTGTTTTCAGATTTTCCTTTTACTTTATTTTTATCATAATCTTTAGCCTTAGTTTGGGGACTTAAAAAGGTATTTCTCCCAGTGGACGGACATGTATGTATGATGTGAATTTTATTTAATTATAAATATGGAGAACTGTGTAATTTTAGAAGTGAGAAAAGGCAAGACTTGCCTTCCTTCTATTTATTTTGCATCTGTGTGCTTTTAGTGATTTAATACATTTGCTGTTTTTATGAATTTCTTATGTTGCATGGGAACTCTTGAATGAAGGTTACAGTTTTTGACATAATTTGTGTACTTTATGATCCAAGGTGAATTCATGTGGAATGCATCTGTTTGTTTTTTTTTAAGATTTTATTTATTTATTTGACAGAGAGAGAGAGACAGTGAGAGAGGGAACACAAGCAGAGGGAGTGGGAGAGGGAGAAGCAGGCCTCCCGCGGAGCAGGGAGACCGATGCGGGGCTCGATCCCAGGACCCGGGATCATGACCTGAGCCGAAGGCAGACGCTTAACGACTGAGCCACCCAGGCGCCCCTGTTTTTCTTTTTTATTCATTTTTTTGAGATGGGTAAAGATACGAAGCCTTCAAAAATTGGCATGCTTATATGTTTGAAAATTTGTTTTTACTTCCTGATTTCTTGATGTTATATTTTTTATACTGCCCTTTCATTTACAGATTTAAGATCACTGATATGGGTGGCTTAGGAATGTATGTGGCAGTAGGAATTTCAGTGGCTTTCTGGAGATTTCTGACCTAAGCTTTAGATTAGTAAATCCCCAAAAATCCTAGTAGTTAATTCATCATAAGTAATTTTCTGTAGTGTAGGATACATGGCTGTGAGGCACTGGACAGAATTTCAGGTATGCATAAAGACCTGTAGTGTAGTGAAAAAAATTAGAGGGGTGCATTTTTGTAGAATTCATTTAGGATCATAACAAACTTAAACCACTGCGATTATGGAAAGTTCCAAGGGAAATGCCCAGGCTCTTCCTCCAGGTTGGTGGTAGGAAAGAAGGAATAAAAGGAATTGTTATATGCAAGGAATTATCTAACCCAAGGGAAAAAAAACAGAAGAAAACTTGTAATTCTTCTGTAGAATTGAAAATTAAATCAGATTAGTTTTAAAAGTCAATTTAGTTTAAAGTATCTTTTTTTGATTTATTCCTCTTTATGTTTGCAACTGAAACCTTTCTTTTTCAAATAATTATGCCATACTCCCAAAATACAGATATTCATTCAATAAGCCTTTATTGAGCTCTGTGTGCCAAGTACTAGGATTATAAAGATCAGAGGATATAGTTGTTGTGTTTGAAAAGTTGGGAGGCTGACATAAAAAACATACAGTCCACTAAAAATAGATTTTAAGCTTTGCAAAAGCAGGGATTCTTAACTGTTTTGTTCATTGCTGTATTGCCAGTAAGTTAATTATGTGGAAGAATCAGAAAAGCTTCACAGATGAGATGACATTTTGAGTACGAAGGAGTGTCAGGAGGAAAAAAAGACCAAGGATATTATGAATTCACAAAGCTATGCTGTCTTGAAAGAGCATGAAAATTTCAGGGAGCAGTATAAAAATTCTCTGTGGCAGCAGCTTGTGAGAACAGGAGGAAAAGATGCAGTTGTAGTGATTTGTGCAGCCGGGTCCCATAGGCCTTGTGTGACAGGCTAAGCAATGTAGGCATCGGTGGGGGAACCAAAAGTTTACATTAACCCGGACAGCCAAGATTTTGAATTGATATTAACGCTCAAATTTTTTTTTAACCAGTCATATTATACTGGATATTATGCAATATTGTTTCTTTTAAGTCCTCTATTCATACACAACAATATGCATACCTTTGTTCAAGAATCCCTAAACTGGAAGTTAAGTTAAAAACATGTTTGGGAAGTATAAACTTGACTATTAAAAAATTATTTGTAAGTGTGCTAAAATTTGTCTTTAATCGTATGAACTGGTGACTCCTTATACGAGACTACCAAATGTAACTACAAATGTAATTTTTGAAAAGTAATCCAGTTTTTAAGTTATCTTTAAGAACTTAATCTTTAAAGTTTTTATATTACATGCTTAAGATTTAAATTAACACAAACTTATTTTTCTCAGTGACTTGATTTTTCATCCAGATTGCAAATTCTATTTTCTGTAAATATTTCTACTTAAAAATTTTAAATTATACTGTTAAACTTTTTTTAATTTATTTATTTGAAAGAGAGAGAGAGAGCACAAGCAGGGGGAGGGGCACAAGGGAGAGGGAGAAGCAGACTCCCCACTGAGCAGGGAGCCCGATGTGGAGCTCAATCCTAGGACCCCAGGATCATGACCTGAGCCGAAGTCTGACACTTAACCAACTGAGCCACCCAGGTGTCCTATATACTGTTACACTTTAATATAAGTAAGAGATATGGATTTAAGTAAGCATTCTTCTCCTATCCAGATCGAATACTAACCATGAGATTCAATCCTTTAGATTATGAATTACATAAAATGTTCTAAAAATGACCTAGGAGTGACTTCAAAACTTTGTTAGGGAAGAGTATGAAAGTAGAAATGATTTGTTTTTGGAATTCAGCTTCATTAAGAAGAATGACTCGGAATTGCCTCGTAATGGCTCAGAGAAATGCCCAAATATAGTACCAAAAATTTCTTTGAACTAATAATGTTGAGTTCTTTTCAGTGTTCCCATTCAATGAACTTTTCAACCCTTGGTTTTGAGAACATAGTGCTAATTTAAAGTGTCTGCTGATTTTTAGTGCTATACCATTGTAACTGCTAATAATAATAAGCATTTTCCTGCTTTACACCAAAAACTTTACATTCGAAATGTCATGTGTTCTCTGATTTCTTTTCTTACAGCTTGCCAGTATTTGCCGTGCTGAAATGTTTTAATTTAAAATTTCCTTCCTTTATATCTTTTAGT